AGACTCCTCCTGTGACCCGGCACCCTTCGACTTGGAGACAGAAAAAAGACACAGTCTGATCACATCCACAAACGAACCTAACGTAACGATGATGCCGGCCTCGTGATGAGTCCATCACAGTCTGGTTGACCTGACACTTCCACAGGGCGAATTCATCGTGACCAGATTGAAGGCTACAAACGACCTTGCCTGCTGCAATGAACCTGTCACACGATGGCGTATCCCTATGCATTGATCACAGCAAAGCTATGCTGTCCTTGCAATCCATTGACGTTCTTCTCAACCTTGGCAAGCAAAAAGTTGCACAGGTGCCTTCACACTTTAAAGATTAAGTGCAATATTATCGAGTAGATCTTGAAGGCAAAGGATAAAATGCATAAAAGGGATGTACGTGTATCTGCACATTGAGGATCTGAGTGGGAATTTGGTCAACACGAGCACGACTGGTGGACAACATAACCTCTAGTCAACGCATGTCAAGACCCAGCGAAGAAACATCTTTGCAGAACCTGACAGTGAAGTATTAACGCACCTCCACAAATGTGCAAGGCATAATTGGCGTACGGTCCAACGCATGCGAAGAAAAGATAATCTGTTTAAGACCTGGAGGTGTAGGACCTACGGGGCGAGCGAGAGATGCGACATGCACAATGAGTGAGACACCTCCCATGGCACAGTAACAAGAAGCGACTAGGGGCTCCTGGCATCGCTACTAGGAGCAAGGACGCTACTAGGGGCTCCTGGCCGTACTACTAGGAACAAGAAGCGACTTGGTGGAGGCCATCGCTTCTTGAACCCTTTCTAGCAACAACCAAACCAACAACAGAAAGATGAGGACTTGATCCTACAACCGCAAGGGACTCTTCAGAAGCAGCAAAGAAGCAGCAAAGAAGCAGAGGCAGCCTGAAGGACAAGCACTGTCACAAAAGAAGCTGACGCTTCTCTTTTTCGGAGCCCACAGCACGCAGCTGAAGCGAAAGAATGGAAGTACACAACAATAAGCTACTAGGAACAAGTGCATCGCTTCTAGTAACAAGTGCCTTACTAGTAGTTTAAAAACAAAGAATGGAAGTACAGAGTATTCACAGCATCCATGGGACTCATGGACCAGGAGTACAATGGGCCACAAAAGGCCGAGAAGGAGGCTGACTAGTCAACTTAACGACTGGAGCAGCAATATCTTGCACATCCACCATCCAATTATTCCAAGGTCAGCATGTTTGAGACGCCTTGGATGCATGTTTCAGCTGGGAGTTGAACCATTTATTTGCAAGAGCGATATGATGCAGGGTGGAGGCCATTGCTAGCTCTTGTCAGACGTTTGTTGTGCCCCGGATCTTGTTGTGCACCCTTTGAGCTTCTCTGAGCGAAACGGTTTCTACGCGTCGCCCGAACCGCTTTTTGGCTCAGTTGGAGAGTCCGTACTAGTAAGGCACTTGTTACTACTAGCAAACATTGTTACTAGTAAGGCACCTGTTACTACTAGCGTGGCACTTGTTACTAGTAGCCGTAACACACCAAACGCAAGTTTTCCTGAGTTCCATGTGGAGGAAAAGGGGTGGCTGGAAGAGTTTTAAAGAACCGCGACCCTTTGAATGACAGGATCCCGAGAAATGACCGCACACCCGGGATTCTCAGCACATCACATTTCCAATTCGGATTCCAAACTTGGAGTCCTTACGGCGCACACCTGACAGGGCAAGGACGTTACTGGTAGCTCCTGGCATCGCTAGTAACAAGAAGCTACTAGGAACAAGTGCATCGCTTCTAGTAACAAGTGCCTTACTAGTAGTAACAAGAAGCTACTAGGAACAAAGGGCGCCCAGAACAAGAAACCAGAATTCGGTGCCCTCATAGTCTGCCTGCCGCCACATTCTTCAGATTGGTCACGGAATTGTCAAGGTGATCGACCTCCAAGGCACATCAAATCTGAATAGCATTGCACAAAGTAACATGCGTCGTTTCATTCTTATGATTGTCTTGGAAGTTGTCTTTCTAGACTTCTAGACGGATCTAACCATGCTTTGTGACAGGATTTATTTTGAACACATCAACATCCGTGCATTGTCATCAATCACGCCTGACCTGGCAGCAACTGCAAGCTTAGCCAGGGGGTCGTTTTTGAACTGGTGGAGACGGACGAACAGTGGGGCGTGCGAGGAGGGTTAAGCACAATGTCACAATGTTCTTTTGAGTCGGTTTTTGTGGCATTGCGACTCACTGCTCAATGGTGTGTTTGTCTTCAGCATACAGCGGAGTCCTACTCGAAGGCTTGCTAAGCCTATTCTTTGCCTGGAAATACACCTCTGTTTGCTGATTGAACATGTTGCAGCTCTGACCTTTTGCACTTGTTCTTGCTGAAGAGACATTGCACCTCCTCGCAATAGTGCCCCGATGGAAGCGGACCAGGGTGGAACTTGAGGAGGGGTGAACTAAAGGTAGCCATCATGCATGTATCATGGGAGACACAACCAACCATCTGGCAAAGGGAAAAGGGTCGGGGGGATGATGATGATGATGATGATGATGATGATGATGACGATGAACCAAGAGGACGATGATGATGGTGATGATGAGGGGGGTGTCCAACGAACGGGGTGACCTCGCAATGAATAGAATCATACCTTAAACACAATCAACCACTTTCAACAATCCAGTCCCCCTTGCCTACCCAAGATAGAACTCAAGCAGCTGAAGCTACCTAACTCGTGACATTTCGTGGAAAAACGAGTCCAGCTCGAACACGTACAGTGTAAGCGTGAGGTGAGCAAAACACGAGGAAGCTCACCTTTGCCGCAACATATCGAAACGGTTTGACGCGTGCATTCTTCTCAAAGTGAAGAAGTGCCAGGAATGGTGACAAGCGACAGATTCAGAAAACCGCAAATTTCGGATGGGAGAAAGATGAGAAAGGTGAAAAAAGATGGGAGAAAGGTCCGAGAAAAGCGGACACGTAGAGATTTGTACAGAGTTGGAGAAAAGGAAAGAAAAGTGAGGTTACAAAGAAGAACATCAGCAGACAGTAGAGGTTTCTGTACTAAAGCTCACCATTCATGATTGCACTCACATCACAGCTTCGACACTGACTGCATTGAAGGGCGAAGGGCGAAGGCCTCCAACCTAAAAGCAATGGCCTCCAACCTACTTGCGTCCTTGCTCCTAGTAGCGATGCCCTTTGTTCCTAGTAGCTTCTTGTTCCTAGTAGTAAGGCCAGGAGCCCCTAGTAGCGTCCTTGGTATTGCATCACAAACATCGCCCTCCAACACATGACTCTTCACGTCAGCCCGAACGCGTCACATCATAACGCCCCTCACGCACGAATCACCTCACATCACCCTCACAACGCTTTTTGATGTTCTGCGAGAAAAGCTCACTTGTGACGGTGATACTGTAAGATCTGTAAGTCAATTCAATCCCTTGAAAGGAAAGACTTATGGAATCCTACTGAGGAGCTGCCTCGGGAAGGCCTGCGCAAGACAAGTGTAGAATTAAAAACCCCAATGAATTCAGATGTTCAGGCAAAGCAATTACCAGGGCACGGTGAAGAGTTTGATTTGCGCATTCCAAATGTGCTGGTTGGTGGCTCACAATGCGAGTTTGCAAAGCAAACTGTCCAGAGTAGGCTGAAATCAGCGGAAACAAGAATCCGGGTCATCCTTGAGAAAGGTTGACTCTGGCCTGCTTTTGCCTGTTCTTTGACTGATCCTCGCCAAAGCAAATCATACTTTGAAACCCTCGAAACCTTTATTCCGATGCATAGCCTGCATAGCACATTTATTCCTGCATCAACGGTGTTTTTCTCGACAAGACTCGCATGCCGCATAACTGTCTGGCCTGCAGCTGGTCCAGTCTGTCACTGTACCTGTAAAACACAACAGGCGGGCAATTTGCTGAAGTTGTCGTACGGTACGGTACGCTGCGTACCTCTTTTGGGCTGTGTCGATGGTTCTGACTTTGCTACGAAAATCATTCAAGCTGCTTTGCAGGTTGCGCTGCAGCCCTGTGACCTGGCGCTTCGCAAGCACGGGCACCGCCAGCCATTGACATACCTTATACGTTTAAGCATGCTTGGAGGCCATCACTATGTTTAGTTTAACCGTTGTGTTCAATTTTTCCCCAACTCGCCATTGAGCAGTCTTGCTAGCAACGGATCGATGCTCGAACAGCTGCTTCTGCATTCTTTTGTGCAGCAACGGCCGCAACTACATCACTCACAAGTGCCACTGGCTGGCAACTCAAATGTTCTGTTGCCCAAAAAATGCAAACATCGGACATCCAAACTGCCCAAACTCTAAATTGAACACACACATATATATATATATGTGGCAGGGACCTTTTGGTAACATTTCGTTGCGGATGAAAAGCACCGGCACATTTCTCACTAGCGCGCACAGGTCTCATTTGCCCATGCCACCACGCACAGGGGAAGGAGAAACCGGACGTCGCGGGTCCTTAGATCGGTTTCTCATTGTTTTTCATTGTTCAATTATTGCACATGTATATTGGGAAGCATGCGTTGCAACTAATGAATCAGCCAAAGCGTCGTCCACTGATCTCTGGCCTGTGTGAAAATTCTCCCAGTAGAACACTCCTGGCTTTGTGCCTTGGATACAAGCGCTGATGGCTGATGGTTCCCGAAGCCTAGAACGGTTGGCATGACGTTCAAAAGCTTGTTACGCTTTTCAAAAGAGTACGGCCGCTTTTGCGTTCAAGCCAGGCTGCGGCTTTCGATCTTGCGCCAGCTCAAGTTGTACGCCTTTTCCTCACAAAGGTACCGATTGAAAAATCTTTTCGATAACCATCAACCGGATTGATTCCCGCGCAGATATGAACATAGTGTTTGGTGAATTCAATTCATGAGTGGCTTCGTGCCAAAACAAATGAGGCTCCCAAAAGCCACGTGATCATACGGTTGAAAGAGTTAAAAGAATGTCTCCGTCATTTTCGCATGCCAATCATCCTTGCGTCTTTGCAACGCGTCGAACCATCCTTTGGAAGGGACAGAGGCCTCCACCGTTTCCTCAGCGTGCAACTCTGAAACGCCCAGGGCGCATTGATTGAATTGTTTGTCCATGTCGGGCCGCCAGAAATATGTTGATTTGAGCGTTAAACAAAAGTTCCTGCAACTCCGTAACTTGCCCGCAATTCTGCCAAATCTGAGACCCTGGCGTGCCATCTGGGCTTGAAGCCCCTGCCAGGTGGTGCGGATGTAAATGGTCTACGCAGGTAAACTGTAAAGAAAGAGCCACTCTTGCAAAGCAATACATGTTCTTTTTGGTGGCTAGAATCAGACTCTGCTCCACATGGATTGTGAAACTAACAAGCGCAAAACACAAGCCAGAGCACAAACCTATGTACGTTTTTGTTGAAGCATCAGCTTTCGTAAGCTCAACAAATCATATGTTTCTATGTTCGCTCGCGCAATCTCAGAATCCACAACTGAGTGTTGACTCTAACATCATAGGGATCCGGAAACAAGTCCACAAGCTTCTGGTGCCGGGTGAGGAGTTCAACAAAAGGCATCATTCCTAGCTGACGTGCAGCCAACTGTTTGCAGACCCGTTCGGACTGGTCAAGCAGGCGCCACTCTCTGACCGCAGGAACCGGTCCATACTGCCCTGAGCCTTCGATGAGTTTCTCTAGGCTTTCCTCCCCGTGAAAGCTGGCAAATGTTTCGAGCGCTAAAAGCATTTCGATGTGATAGAAACGCTGTGGCAGGCGAGAATCTGTGGACGACATCCAAGCTGGCAGGCATAGCAAATGCAAAAAGTGAATAGCTTCAGCCATGTGCCTTAGGTGGCTTTGTCGAGAGGTCTTGTCAAAGCAACTGGATACGAACAACATGTCCGTCATGTACGGGTTGCAGCGGACTTCATTGAAAAAGAAAGCGAAGAGGGAGAACTCCAGCAGTTTCAGCTTCTGATCTCTCAGTAAGCGTAAAAAGAATCCAGTCGAACGCAATCTAAACTCCCAGAGCTTTGCGTCACCATCTGCATCCAAGGGATTAGGAGCGATCCAGAACAAATGGGGATGTTCTGCAAGGACTGACTCCACCAGACTCATTTCCTTTTGGTACGCAGCCAACTGCCGAAGAGCCACCCTAAGATCACAAGGCGGAGTTGCCGGAAAGCAGAAACGCAAGCGGAGGACATCTTGTGGCCTCGATGCTGAAGGTCCTTAGATAGTGGCACATGGATGTAAGAAAGAATAGAAAACTTTCTGATTAAGTCGCTGCGGAAAAAAAGAACATGGATTGAACATGTCACATGTCCGAGCTTCCACCTCCCAAAGCGTCACTGGAAGAAACCGATTGATGTAACCACCTCCTACCCTCTGAGCGCAAAAGCCTCCTGCTTTCGAGGCATGCAGCTTCCCATCTTCTCTTTGATGTGCTAAGGAATGGGTTTGGAAAAGCAACGACTAGGCTCACCCTTTCTGATGTGCCTACACCACTGCACTGCCTCAGAAAGGACATGTAGACTGCTAGCCTCTTCTTGCTGTGTGCGACTGCACGCTGCTCAAGGTTTTCTGGCAAAGGCAAGTGGCTAGCGAAAAGCTGTCTAATTTCGGCAACCTTGCATTCCCACAGGTCTACATCAAGACACATCAGGTCTGCAAGGTGACCGAAAAGGGTGGGGCTATGAGCAAGCAGTGTTTGGAACTCACTACAGATGCGTTCAAATTCTAGCACTTGCTCTTCCCACTGGCTGCTGCCACCACGCACATCATGTGTCGCCGCTATTTGAAATTCCAGAAGAGCATTAGCTTCGGCAACCATAAACGGCACTTCATCTACAAAGGGAAACTCTCCATTGTCAGGGTTGCAACCGACGACGAACATGCTATGGATGGTTGCGCCATAATATTTTTCCAAAATACGGCAGTAAATGTTCAGCTGCAGCCGGTAGTGCCATAAAGCTGCATCTGGCAGGTGCGCAACGGGGCTTCGCATGAACTTTCCAAATCCATTGCATTTGTTCCACATGCATTTGGACCGCTTCCAATCACAAAGTACCAGCGATCCGTCCGACCGCACTCCAACGAAATCGATGGAGCCGGCCAAATTCTCCTCTGTGGCAAAAACTGCCCACTCCGTACGGAAAGCCATAACTCCAGACATCTTTGCATCGATGAACTTTGCAAAGAGACCCACTTCTGTGGACACGTGCGATAGAAAACCACCGTTGAGCAAGCACTCTAGCTCCATGTGCATCCATGTGCCTTGCTTCGACGCATCATCAGCGTTTCTGGTCCAGACCTTTTTGATTGTTGCGTCAGACATGGAGATCAAATCGACAATGTTGTGAAGATCTGGATGCTGCCGCGCGATATTCTTGACCAACTGACAGATTTCCACATTTGGGCGCGGTTTGATGCACAAAAGATTGACCAGCTCTTTGGTGTGAACTGAATCCCTGAGGAAGCAGAGCGTGTCCTCAGCCACATAGGGCTTCAGGTATTCCGGACGTGGCCAATTCGCTCCGGCTCGCATGCCCGCAATTACACAGTCAGGGTCAAATGGCTGCGTGAATGTGTGGATGAGCTTGGTCACTGATCCAGCCGTTGGCGTCCCATCCCAGAAGTACATGTGATCACGTGCCTCGAACACCAGTCTCGCGTCTCTGGGATGGGGATTGGAGATTTTCAAATGGTCAATGATGACTGGCCAAGACTTAACAGTACACCATTGTGTGGGCGGGTGTGGCATCACGCTGCGCCTGACGACGCCGGCACGAAGGATATCTGGCAAGATACTGTCCATCTCAAGGCTCCGCAAACTGAAGAGGTTAATGTTGCAGAGTGTGGAATTGGTGCTGTCGATCCTAGCTCCACCCTCCAAACGGCGCTTCTTGGCTTCCATTGCCACAGACCGATTGTGGGCAATGATTGTGTGTTGAGGCAAAGCACCGCCTTGAACCTCGACTTCAACAACGTCACCACCGCCAGCAACGTCTGTGAAAACATGTCTGTGGCCAAAGCCTGCTTCTTCTGGCACAACGTGGAATATCATCTCATACGCTGAGGCATCAAAATCCTTGGTGTGCATGGTATCTCCCATGTAGCATTTTGGACCACTCTGGACTCTGCAGGTTCCGTCATCGAATACACGAAAGCCAGTGAAGTGCTTTTGGCGATAGAGGACATACTTACCGGGCTGCAAATCTGCTGCTGGAGCGATATCCACAGCAAATATGGTGTGCCTGTAGCGACTTGGTCATGTAGGTAGCTTGGGTTGAAACTGAGGAGTGAAAGCAAAAAGACATTCTTACCAAATACACCAAGGCACTTCAAAGGAGTCAGCATCTTTTGGCCATCCTCCACAGCCCAAAATGGCCCATCACCAGTGTAGGGTACTTTGAGGCCAATGGAGCGAAACGCATCCACTAGGCACACTTCCGTGAAGCGTCTTTGCACCAAAGGCTTGCTGGTAGTAGCGCATGGTCCTCAAGAAGGTTGCAGCAAAGGCACCAAGCAGAACTGCATGTAACATGTGGGTGGGTTTCTGCTTTTTCATTCTAAAAAACCGATGCGCCTGGGGGTGGTGAAGAAAAAGAAAGGGCATCTGGCATAGTCATCTTCTCCCTTTCTGCTTGGACTATGCACTCGTATTCCTGACGACTACACGCGCCACACACTCACAGATTCCTCAAGACTACCCTTTTCATGACCTATATCTTGTCATGTAAGCTTGCACTGACGACCCTGCCTCGAAGAGCTTTTCAAAAGCTAGTTCCCGCCTTCGGAGAATGCGTTGATGCCTGCCAATTGCGTTGGTGTAGACGTTCTCCCAGTAGCGCTCCTCGTACCGTCGCCGCTTCTGGCGCTTGGACAATGGTGGCCTGGGATATCAAACTTCACATATGGTCATTTAGTTTCTCTCGGCCAAGATACCGTTGACCAACTTCACAGGTCAAGCGGTTGACAATCGTCTTCATAAAGTAATCACCTTAAATAAGAATGTGGGCGGCTCACAGAAAGTGTTAAGCCACCACTGCAATTTGAATTGGACCCAGATACTCCACATAGCAGCATTCTTTTGGAAGTCAGCTGTTTGTGGAACTGGCGTCATGAGAGTGAATCGGGAAAGCACCAGGTATCTGCTGGTTACAAAGGCTAAGGACACACAGCAAGCAAGAAACTGGAGAAGGATGTAGTTACGCCCGCCTTGGCATGTTATACCTTCATCAGTTCCGGGCCTTGGCCGCAATGCAGCAAGCTCGACAAAATCACAAATCGTTGAGCATTATAAAAACCTTAGGCTGCAGCCGACCAGTATCATTTCTTGACTGCGCTGGAGCCTCGGGTCGACAGCAGCAGTATGTGAACAAGGCGAACAAAGCTGCCGCTTGCTTTTCAGCCTCTGCATGTGGTTCATGTAGTGGAGCCGCTCGCTGCCCCCTTACAAGAATTTTAATTCAATTGCAAATCTCAACAGCTATATGTCCAAGCCTGAATCGGAAGTACCACTGCTTCCGCGAAATTCTTTTCCAGTTGGGAAGCTCCAGCCCCACTGGAAATGAAGTCGTGCTGCGACACCGCCTCGCAATCTTCCACGCAAGGGCATCACCTGCAGGCTACCATGTGCATCTACGGTATCGACATGAGACACCTGTGGCATGTGAGCGTACTACCTTGTATTTCACAAGCGAGTCACACCACAATGGGCAAGAAATCAGCTTCACATTTGACTCCTTGACTTTGCACCCACCAGTGGCAACTTGCTTCAATCCAAATCCAGAATTGCGCCCTTGGCAGGTATCATTGCAAACTCACGCAAATTCAAACCAATTCCGCTGTTTTCCGGCCAAGGCACATTGAATGGTTTCATAGCAACCGGCATGGCATACGTGAGTAAGACGACGGATGATTCCCTGCATAAAGTAGTCGCCTTGTTCACTCGCAGTGGGCAAATCAACTATGCTTTAGATATTGCACACTGAAAAGGCAAGGCAAGGAGCAGTTGGAGCGTGTTGCCAAATCTGCTTGGTCGCAACAGCGCCCGATGATAGACGCCATGAAACAATCGCCTTGTATAAAAAATCTGTGTTGACATGCGCTAGGTTGGTGCTAGGATGTGATCACCAAGTGCTTCAAGACACACCATCCTCCATCATATTCTTCCAGGTATCCCCGAGATACAAAAGGCCAAAGCAATCCTGCGCAAGCCATTCTGCAGCTTC